TGCCGCAATTTGCATACGCTGTTTGTTTGGAAAATTGTGTTTACATCTTAATGCTACCCAGCACGGCGCAAAGTATTAATGTAAATTCGTCTTCTTTAACAACTCTCTATAGGTGGTTTAATCATACCTGAAAGGGATCGTAATTGGATCGCATGTAGGGATATCCGTAGTGCATTAACAAGTACATAACATGCGAACATGAAATTGCCCTTGTCGGTTGCTAACTCCAACTACTTACTCAAAACAATTGAATTGAAATATTGCTCTACGTCAACTGGTTTTCCTTTTTATCTTGCTATGATGTTCTAAAACCTGGAAGGACAGCAGCCAAAGATGTCTGATTTTCAGTTTTGCGAAGCACGCAAGATCAGTGAGCTTGAAACCTTTCCTTCCATGTTTACTTGTGACGTCACAACACCCGACTGATCTGGATAATATAGTTCAACTTATCATTAGAATATTCGCTCAAATTGTGTGTTAAATTTAAGATAGATTTTTCTAGTAAGTTCTAGTTCTAAGTTCCAAGTATCATTTGAAACTCACATTGAATTGTTTGTATTGTTTAAATTGTATCTTATAACGCTTGCATCATAAATAAAGCGGCGTTTGACAGTACTTACTGATTTTAAAGGTATAATTCAGGTAACGTATCGATTTTGATCTTGAGGGGATATTTAAATTTGGCGCTTTATTTTCAAACCTATACATCGTGAAACATCATAAGCCATTATGTAGGTTATATAGGAAGAATTGTAATTTTTAAGAGACAATCATAATTTGCCAAATCTTCAAACGGTTTCACGTACGTTCAGGGGCATTTAATAGCTTTCTGGAACCATAAATCCCAGAATTTGCGCCTTGTAGAAACCCTTACAGCCTGTTGGGCGCATGCAAAAGTCTTCAGAAAACTTTTCCAGGATGTCAAAAAGCTTGAGAGGAATTGGAATAATTTAAGAGAGGACAAAAAAAGATAAAAACGTTGTAGAACTGTAAAAAACTTCCTTCAAAAAGTGAATCGTGGTTAATAAAATATTACACCAAAACAATTCTAACAACTGGAGCATCAATATTTCACCACTTACCAAAATGGCCGAACCCCAAACAGCAATCACCCTCACCATGGACTAGCTCCCAGTCTTGATCGAGCAGATGAAGGGAACCACTCGGAATGCGTCGCCGAGAACAACGCCATGAATGGCGATGCTCCCGCAAGGAGAAGCACGGAGCTGGTGGCAAGGTGTGAAAGAAACTCTTCTGGGATGAAGACATCGCTCCTCTCAAAGAAAACTTCGGCCACACCATCCTAACCCACGGACTCATATGGCAGTTCCTGGCGAAGGAGTAAAGGGAGAAAGAGCTGGCCGAGCAAAAAGCGCGTACTGTTCGTCAAGATTCCCCAGGAACAACGACCGTCAGCGACATTCAAGGAAAGCATGGTCTATAGAAGGCATACAGGGATCTGGTGTTGGAACCATAGACCGGCTTGATCTCAGACCAATTCAAGGTCGCTCGCCTCCGTTGGTTGTGACCTTGGGAAGTAGGCCAACGTCATGTGTTGTGGTGACCTTGGGAAGTAGGTCAATGTCACGTGCCACGTGGCGATTGCCCCAAGTGCATTGGCCTCAAACCCATAAATTTTCAAGGTTATCCGAGGGCATTGACTCCCATTAATGTTCAAGGTCATCAGAGATCATTGTAATTTGACACCACAAAAATGGGGTCAATGACCTTGGATGACCTTAGAAATTTAGGGGGCAATAACAGATGATCTTGAAAATGCAAGTTGACACCACAAAAAATGGTGTCAATGGCCTTGGATGGCCTTAGAAATTTATGGGGTCAATGACCTCGGATCACCTTGAAAATGTAATTTGACATAAATAAAATGGAGTAGATGACCTCGGATGACATTAGAAATTTATGGGGCCATTGAACTCAGATGACCTTGAAAATGTAATTTGACACCACAAAAAAAATGGGGTTAATGCCCTGGGATGATCTTGCAAATGTTGATAACCTTGAGAATGTAATTTGACACAAAAATGAGGTCAATGCCCTTGGGGTCAATCGTCACGTGACCCGTGATCTTAACCTACTTCCCAAGGTCACCACGGGAGGGGGCGGCACGTGACCTTGACCTACTTCCCAAGGGCATCACCAAGGGGGCGAACAACTTTGAACCTACAACAGAACTGTCTATGGTTTCAACACCACATCCGAGACGTAGTGACGGGCACTAAAGCCAACACATTCCAAGATATAACCAAAGAAAGTCGAAAAATGGAGGAGTGTGCGCGAGTAGAGCTTAGTAGTTCCTGGCCCACCACCAAGAAAAAAATCTCGCTGCATGTTTTGCCAGTTCCCCGACTACACTAGAAAAGAGTGTCACAGGCAGAAAGAGGAAGAAGAGAGAACGGACCAAAGACCCACCTCGAGCGGACATTGCTGCACGGCAACTACGCTCAGATGAAGGACACCACCTCACGCCGAGCGAACGGGATCGATTTAACCACCCCCCTGAAAATACCAAGATATATTCGGCGAAGTCAGTACTCCTACACCGTTCGGAGGAGTGCTCACGGAAGGTGCGCAACCTCAGGCAGCACCGCCAAACCGACCACTACGCCAAACAATCGCCGCTAAGTACCGAGCTTACCCACATGCTCGTTCAAAACAATCGCGAGGTCTTCGCCCAACGGTTTGAGGTCATAGCAGTGGATCTGTTCGGACCACTCCCACCTGGACTTAATCAAGAACGGTGGATCCTTGTGGTAGAACATACATCACGACGGGCAAAACTGTTCGCGGTTACCAAAGGCGGGCGCCGTCTAGGAGAGAGAGGGGCAGCGGAAGAAATACTTAAAATTCGCCAACCGCCACAACCCAAAATACACCCAAATCGCCATACCAGGCTCGTGGCTACAACTAACCGATAAATAACGAGAAATAATCGCATCTCCTTGGCATTTGACGGATCGAAGTATCGTTATACTTGACAGGAGCATCCAAATTTCTCGTGCTATTTGACAAAAGCCCAAGAACTACTCTTGAGCTGCAACTTTAATGTGACGCAGAATTTAGAAAATTCCGATGTCTGTGATATGCCGATCTGCACTCTGTCATGTAGCAGCTACGGAACCGGTTTTGGAGATCTGATCAGTGACAGCAAGACACTCCTGCGCCTGATCGCCTCAAAAATGCTTCCACAAAGCTGGTACCCCTCAGGTAACTACAAGTGCTATCCGCCGGTGTGCGGCGTGTGTAATAGATGCCTGGTGGTTCCGAAACCTGTGGAGATACCTGAGCATTGCGTCAAGGACATCATTTCCACCCTGTATCATCGTAACAAGAAATGCTGTCACAGCGTCTGTCCGAATCGTATCGTCAGAAGGCCGTCTAACATTACCATGAGGTGCTACGTGGGCTCGCGACCCGATCATAACTGCTGCCGCGTGAAGCGGTGCAGGCAGACGTGCTGCTCGCGCAGGGTGCAGACTCCGTCGGTCGAGTCGTGCACCGTAAAAATTTTGTGCAACACCCGAAACATCGACTCCAAGTCTACCTGCGCTAAGCCCTCGTGCAGGTCGATCAAAGCTTTGAAGCCGGTGGATTCCACGTGCTATTTCTCAGACGATTGCTGCCCGACCCCGGCCCCCACTGTAAAATTCAACCCGAAATGCTTGCCAGAGTGTGCGAAACCGTGCGATCCATGCCCAAAGCCTTGCGTCTCAAAACCTAAATCGCGACGATCCGTTTGCGAGGTGGTGGAGTGTAAAGACGACTGCCCCGCCGTGTGCGCCGACGGAGTGATTCTCAGGACCGTCATGTACTACTGCGACCTGCTCTCGAAACCGATAGTCGCGCTTCCAATTCTAAGCTCAATATTCTGCTACGTATTCAAAACCGTTAGCGATTGCATCGCAGGCTTTAAATGTTACAAATAAAGAGGCGTCCACCCCGTATTGATTCACCAGTCGAATGGTCTACATTTCAATCCATTGAAACGGAGAGGGCGCGAGCCCATTTATAACCCTTATTTTACTCGAAAGTGTTTTATCTCCTTTTTCGGAATTGCACGAGGAGCCCGGGCTTTGCACTTTTATTGCCTAATTTAATTGCCGTTTCCTCTGCTTATTTATATTGAAATTAAGGTTTTATTTTTATTGCCGTGAACTATGGTCCCGCAGGAACCGCGCTTGTTTTACAAAAGAGTGCGCCTTTTAATCTAAACAATTCCCGAGACAGAGCTCGGGGAGGGCAGAAATTTATTTCCCTCTAATTTTATAGACTGAGCGCGGCCAGTTTAACGACTGAGCAAAAACAGTCTTGAAGCTACAAAATATGGATTTCAGTTACAGGGTGTCCGCGGCAATATTGATTGGTATCGCACCAAACTAGTGCAAAGACCACTTCAGGGTTGAACTTGAGAAATCGAGAGAAGCCGTTCTTTTTGTGGACGTGTAAGTGACATGGCAAACCAGATGATCTCACCAAACCGTATTTAAAAGTAGCAGTATATACCACGACCATATAAATTCGTACGGATGTGTTATGTTATAACAGAATACGGCGCACAAATCTGTACGTGTGCATTCCCACAAATTACACCGCCGTTAAAAATGTCGCCGGACACCGGCGATCTATTAATCAACCTCGTTTCCTAATTGAAAACTTCATTACGTATACTTATCGTTAACCCTTATAATTACATTGTTTGTTTAATTTCAGTTTCATGATACCCTCCGTAAAGCACACGGCTTAAACGTTAGTTTTCATTTTGATGCCTTTCCTTAATTTAATCCGTTCTGTTTTAAGTGAAATTTAACGCACGCAGATGCTGGTACTGTTTAACTTTATTACTTTGTTTGGTCTGTTTCTTGGGTAGAGTAATTACAATCGAAAACTCTCAACCCCTACTTTAATCAACTAAAACGAGCGAGGCCTGCATGCTAAAAGGATTTTTCCTTCTCACTTTTGCACGGAAAGTACGCAATACTTACATTGAACGTCGAGCAGTAAGGAGACGTTGACTGGCTGTTTTAAGGCAATGTGATTAACCAAGCAGGTGAGTGTGGCGTTGTGATGGGTCCTCATGACCCTTTCGAGACGCGCGTCACTTCTGGCACCGACCCGCTGCTCGCGTATTGTCTCCGTGAAGTTGAGGGCGTGATACGGCACTTCCGGAACGTCCTGCAGCACAAGGGAGCCCAACGCTAATTCCCAAGATAACGTGGGCTTCGGATTGCCGCTATCCACTACACAGGAGACGGTTAAATCCGTATTCTCCTTGACGGGAATGAAAAGATTCCCGGGATCCAGTATTCTGTTGTCTATTAGAAGGTACGGCTTCCTTGGGGGATCTGAAAGAGAAGAGGAGGTATTAGAGTCTATTATGTTCTCAAATTAAATTAGAATTAAGTCTAAAAATCTAGCGCGCTGTTGCTAGGAAAAAAAAGGATTGTCAATTATTATTTTTTTAGTTAGTTACGCATCGTTTTTTCAATTAGGATATTAAATTCGATATTAATAATTTCTGTACTTCTGCGTTATGATTAATTAAAGTTTACTAAACTAAAGACATGTGAATTTAACTAATAGTGTGCCACCTCAAAATACACAACAATTTTGGCGACGAGATGAAAGTGACATTTGCGTATTGTTTACTTGTCAGGGTAAGCAATCTTTAATTACTTATTATTCGATATTTCCGATCTAACTCGAAATGGATCAAACACAGTTTCAATCGCTTATGGAAGTCTTCAATAATCAACAAAAAGCACTCATTGAAACTATCGCAAAAACATTCGCTGATCAACCTCAGAAAAGTGGTTTTCAAACACAAGCTCCTGTGAATCCACAAGTTCTTATACCGCCGTTCGAAAATTTCAATGCTTCCAAAGAAAACTTCAAAATGTACAGAGCTCGTTTTGAGAATTACTTGAGATGAAAGGTGTTTTTCAAGACAAAACGTTATGTGCTCAAATGCTCCTGAATTCAATAGCTTCTAGTAATTACCAGTTAATTGTGTCGTTGGTCGCGCCCAAGCAACCTATCGAAAAATCGTACGAAGATATTGTTCAAGTGCTTGAAACTCATTTGTGTCCTAAACGAAACATTTTGGTTGCTCAACACCGTTTCCTGTCTTTGTATCAACAAGACGGGCAGTCCATTGCAGACTACATTGCGGTTTTGCGTCGCGATATTTCCGATTGTGCTTTTGTGTGTCACGCAGAAAATTGTCAAGCCAGTATTGCGGAAATATTTTTGCGTGCCCAACTCATTCGGGGCATACGGGACAATGCTATCCGGGAACAAATTTTGCAATTGGATGATGAAAAATTGAAATTCGACGACATCGTGAAAAAGGCACTTGCACTTGAGGCGTCTAAAATTGATAGCCGTGAAATTTCTAACCGTCAACCAACTTTATCAGTACCTCTTGGAGGAAATGACATAAACAAAATTGGACAGCACAGATCGCGTGCTCAAAATTCATTCACCAGCCATGACAATCGAATCAGGTCTTCAAATAACTCATCTACCAATACACAAAGTTCGTCTCGAGATTCGCGTTCAAAATCACGGTCTCGTCTCAATTACCAGCATCTAGGACTCGACAACCGATGCCTCCGTTGCTCTTTTAAGCATCCTACCAAAGATTACCGCGCTGATAAATCAAAACTGCGGTGTGATTCTTGTAAACGAACGGGTCATGTTTCAGCCGTCAATTTTGTCAACATAAACTCTTTCCATGACTTGAGTGCCATCAACCAAATTATTGACATTTTCGAAAAATCCAGCCCTGGTCAAGACTCAAATAAATATTTTGTTGAAGTTCTCATTGAGGGTAAACCGCAAACCTTCGAAGTGGATTCTGGCGCCGGTATGACGCTCCTTCCAGAACCAGATTTTCAAAAATTGAATTTCAATAAGGCATTACTCAGGCCGACTCATGTTCAATTTCGTTCCTACACCTCCGGAATTTTCAAACCTCTTGGGGTCGCAGAAGTTACAGTACAATACCGAGATCACAAATCGACCGAATTGCTATTCATAGTACCAGCTCAGTTTTCGCCACTCCTGGGTAGAACCTGGATTAGACATTTGAAAATTAGCCTTGGAGATATCGACGAACAAAATTCTACATTATCAAATGTAAACTCACTTGACATTATTGCAGACATAATGAGAGATTTTGCTGATATATTTGAGCCCAAAGTCGGATGTGTACCTGGAATCACTTGCTCCCTCGAGTTGCGCCCTAATTCAAGACCAGTTTTCATCAAAGAACGACCTGTCCCATACGCTCTGTTGGAGAAGGTTAATATCGAACTGAACAATCTCGAGAAATCAGGCATTATTTCAAAAATTGAAATTAGTGACTGGGGTTCTCCTCTAGTCATTATTCCAAAGACTGACAACTCGCTTCGTCTTTGTGTCGACTACAAGATTGGCGTCAATAAACAACTTAAATCGGCTCATTACCCCATAAGAAAGATTGATGATATTCTCAATAATCTTCGAAATTCAAAATTTTTCTGCCATTTGGATCTTTTCAAAGCATATTTACATATTCAAGTATGCGACGAAAGCAAGGCAATTCAAACCATCTCAACACATCGAGGTACTTACCTCATGAATCGTCTTTCGTTTGGTATCAAAACCGCGCCAAGCGAATTCAACAGAATTCTCGATCAGATTTTGGCTAATCTAGATGGAGTCATGTCGTACTATGACGACATAATCGTCCACGGCTCTACATTTGAAGAGTGTAAGCAGAGACTGATAGCTTGCCTCGAAAGGTTAAAAAAGAACGACTTGCATCTGAACAAAGCAAAATGTTCGTTTTTCAAAACGCAAGTTCAATATTTAGGATACTGTGTCAGATATAACGAAATTTCGAAATGCCCTAAGAAAGTTGAGGCTATTGCCAACATGGAGGAACCTAAAAATCCTGATGAGCTACATCGTTTCTTAGGAATGGTTACCTATTATGCGAGGTTCATACCTAGCCTGTCTTCAATAACCTACCCTCTGCGTCAATTGATTCATAAAGGAAGTCAATGGGTTTGGACTCAAAAATGCCAAAAGGCATTTCAGCAGCTCAAAACGGAAATCATTAGCGATCGAGTTCTCATGCCATATGATCCATCGCTTCCAGTAAGTTTGGCTTGCGATGCCGGTCCCACGGGAATCGCTGGTGTTTTATCTCACGACGTTAATGGCGTAGAAAGGCCTATAACCTTCATATCAAGATCTTTGACACACGCAGAAAAAAGTTACTCCCAACTTGACCGCGAGGCAAGTTTTTTGTGTTTCAAGACTGTATATGTACCTTACTGGTCGTCCATTCACGCTAATCACTGATAACCAGCCGCTGACCAGAATTTTACACCCGGAAACGAAGCTTCCATCCTTTACGTCAGCGAGACTACTTCGGTACGCGACTTTTCTTCAAGAGTTCGACTACAAAGTTGTACACAGAAAAGCAGAGGATCACATACATGTTGATTGTCTCTCCAGAGCTACTTATCCTACATCACAATCTAGCTCCTCTACAGAATGCATCATGAGTCTCGAAGTTTCAACCATTGAACATCAAATCATCAACCAGATTTCTACTGACGTCATCACCAGTTCAACTATTGCTGAAGAAACAGCCAAGGACGCATTTCTTTCAAACCTTCATGAAGATCTCATTTCTGGAAAACGACGTGATCCCGAATACAGCATTTCCAACGGCATCATTTTCAAGAATCAACGAGTTTTTATACCTGAAGCCCTTCAAAAAAGAGTTCTCTTGGAACTGCATCGAACACATGTGGACATCGTAAAAATGAAACAGTTGGCAAGACGCCACTGCTTCTGGAAAAACATCGACAAAGACATAGAAGCTATGGTAAAAAACTGCCAGGAATGCGCACTATCCCAGAAAAGTCCAGCTAAAGTTCCTCTCCATCATTGGGACGATCCGCAGCATAATTTTGAACGCGTTCATATTGATTATGCTGGGCCGTTTTTGAATCACCATTTTCTTGTCCTTGTCGATTCCAAGTCAAAGTGGGCTGAAATTCGCATCATTAAAGACGCCCAGACGACTGCAACTACCATAGAGCTGCTATTGGACATTTTTTGCACTCATGGATTCCCTGAAATCATGGTATCAGATAATGCGACTATTTTTCACAGTGACATATTCAAAACCTTCTGTCTGAACAATGCCATTTTGCAAAAGTTTATAGCGCCAGGTCATCCTGCAACTAACGGGTTGGCCGAACGTTATATACAAACCTTGAAACCAAAACTGAAGTGTATGACCGAACCAGGTTCTATTCAACACAAGGTACGCGAAATATTATTCAGATACAGAGCCACTCCTCTCCAGAATGGCAAAACTCCAGCCGAATTGTATTTGAATAGAAACATTAGGTGCCAGCTCGACGTCTTCAAGCCTCCTACTTCAAAAATCCAAAAACGAGTACAATTCGACCTGCCACCATCGCGACAATTCAAAATTGGGGACAAGGTATTAGCAAGATGGTATTCGAATAACAAGAATACTTGGAAATTTGGTTCGATCATCCAAAAATTCGGACATCTCCACTACCAAGTTGAACTTAATAATGGTTACCGGCTCAAACGACACACGAACCAGTTGAGAAAAGCCAACGTCGATATATACCCCAACCGTCAGCCGCCCTTGCAACCTCCACAAATTACTTTAGATTAGGAATCACCTGAAATCAACCACCACTACGAAAAACTGGCGTCCCTGCTCCTACCAGCCAATCCTCGATCGGATGTTATTCCTGATGTCGAAGCTGAACCTTCAGAAGTTGGACAATCTCCAACAGTGGAATCCGTCCGGTGATCTACTCGACCCCGCCATCCTCCAGAACGTTTTAGAGACTATATGTGATTCAAACTGTTGTTACAACTGTCATAATTTTGTGGGGGGAGACTATTATGTTCTCAATTTAAATTAGAATTAAGTCTAAAAATCTAGCGCGCTGTTGCTAGGAAAAAAAAGGATTGTCAATTATTATTTTTTTAGTTAGTTACGCATCGTTTTTTCAATTAGGATATTAAATTCGATATTAATAATTTCTGTACTTCTGCGTTATGATTAATTAAAGTTTACTAAACTAAAGACATTTGAATTTAACTAATAGTGTGCCACCTCAAAATACACAACAGAGTCTGTCAATATTCTGAACTATTATTATTATTAAAGACGTAGTGTATTGGACTTAATGGGGATCGATTTCATCTTGGAGGAGAAGGTGCACACATAATTTGTTATATAAACTTCGATGGTTGTAGCCCTGGGCTGACTTGTTCTAGTAATGAATTAAAAAAT